TTTTAAATGCTTATAACTTGAAGGTTCAAATCTACGAGGAAATCTCAAGTTGAAATTTGGTGGGAGTTTAACTGCCACAATGTAAATTATGTCAATTTGTTTGATTTATTGTGTTATGTATGTATCTTATTTCCCTTGTCTATTGTTGTTTCTTTTGGGGTAGGAACTAAGTTTCATGCTGTGTTGCGCTCGGTCCATTTTGGGTGACGAAAAGGGAAGTCAAAGGGCATGTGAAAAGAAGCTAAGCTATAACCTATGCAGTCACAGGAATGAATAAATAAGCAGTTTAAAGTAAGGGAAAGCTGTAGAGAAGACGAAGAAGAAATTGCGAATTACTTTTGTTAAGTTTTGTTCCTGAAGATGGATGGATGTTAGATAGATGGATAATTGGCTGGATGGTTGTTAGATAGATGGATAAATGGATGGATGGATGAATGGATGTTAGATAGATGGATAATTGGATGGATGGATGGATGGATAATTGGGTGGTTGGACGTTAGAAAGATGGATAATTGGATGGGTGGATAGATGGATAATTGGATGGATGGATGAATGGATGTTAGATAGATGGATAATTGGATGGATGGATGGATGGATGGGTGGATGAATGTTAGATAGATAGATAATTCGATGGATGGATGGATGGATAGGTGGATGGATGGATGGATGGATGTTGGATAGATGGATGGATGGGTGGATAGATGGGTGGATAGATGGATGTTAGATAGATGGATAATTGGATGGATGAATCGATGATAGATAGATAGATAGATAGATAGATAGATAGATAGATAAATAGATAGATAGATAGATAGATAGATGATAGATAGATAGATAGATAGATAGATAGATAGATAGATAGATAGATAGATAGATAGATAGATAGATAGATAGATAGATAATAAATAAAAGGATTTTACCTTTTTTCAACTGCTCTTGCCTCAAGTCATTCTGGGCTTCTGCATTTTGGAGGTAGCTCCTCCTGCTTAGCGTGACAGAATGGACTGACCTCACCTGGACCCAGCAGAAACCTGGACTCCACCAAAAACACTCCACTACAGGTACTGTGGAGACCCAGAGACTTGCCGTACCTACATCGAAGCCTGCTCTCGTTACCTGGACCTGGCTTCCTTGGAGCATGACAAAGTCTCCTTCATGGTGTCTAATTTGGGTGGTAGCGCCCTGGTGTGGGCCATGGACTATCTTTCAGTACGTCCATCCAGATCGGTGTCCTTCTGGGAGTTTGCCAAGCGTCTGCAGGAGACCTTTGGCCTTGGTTCATCTCCTGTTCATGCCTCCGACTCCACACCCCCGGGACACCAAGTCACCTCTTCCATATCTACTCTATCGGCCCCGAGTCATCATTACCCTCCTGCTACCATCAGATCCGGTTTCCTCCCCTCTTCCCCTGTTCCTGTTTCAGCCTCCTCCTGTTCTCCTCCAGGTTCTTCTGCTTAGTTCTTTCCCCATTTAGTTTATTTAGTGCACCTGCCTTCCCTCCAGATCTCACTCACACCTGTAACATGTTCCTCTGATCACCTCCTTCTGATAGGTGGATGTTAGATGGATAATTGGATGAATGGATGTTAGATAGATGGATGGATGGATGGATGGATGGATGGATGGATGTTAGATAGATTGATAATTAGATGAATGGATGTTAGATAGATGGATGGGTGGATAGATGGATGTTGGATAAATGGATAATTGGATGGTTGGATGAATGGATGTTAGATAGATGGATGTTGGATAAATGGATAATTGGATGGTTGGATGAATGGATGATAGATAGATAGATAGATAGATAGATAGATAGATAGATAGATAGATAGATAGATAGATAGATAGATAGATAGATAGATAGATAGATAGATAGATAGATAGATAGATAGATAGATAGATAGATGGATGGATGGATGGATGTTGGATGGATGGATGGATGGATGGATGAATGGATGTTAGATGGATGGATGGGTGGATAGATGGATGTTAGTTGGATAATTGGATGGATGAATGGATGTTAGATGGATGGATGGATGTTAGATAGATGGATGGATGGGTGGATGGATGGATGTTAGATAGATGAATAAGTTGATGGAGGTTAGATAAATGGATGGATGGATGGATGGATGGGTGGGTGGGTGGATGGATGGATGGATGGATGGATATTAGATAGATGGATAATTGGATGGATGGATGGATGGATGTTCGATGGATAACTGGATGGATGATGTTAGATAGATGGATGGATGGATGGATGGGTGGATAGATAGATGTTAGTTGGATAATTGAATGGATGTTAGATAGATGGATGGATGGATGTTAGATAGATGGATGGATGGATGTTAGATAGATGGATGGGTGGGTGGATGAATGGATGTTAGATAGATGGATAATTGAATGGATGTTAGATAAATGGATGGATAGATGGGTGGGTGGATGGATGTGTAATGAAATGAGATTATTACATTTTAATTAATGAGCCATAAGGCGTGGAATTCCATTGGAAATATAGAATCCACCTTACGGATCGAAGGGTTATTTAAATAGTAAATGGCCTGTATTTGATATAGCGCCTTCTAGAGTCCTGGAACCCCCCCAAGGCGCTTTACAACACAGTCAGTCATTCACCCATTCACACACACATTCACACACTAGTGGGGATGAGCTACGATGTAGCCACAGCTGCCCTGGGGCGCACTGACAGAGGCGAGGCTGCCGAGCACAGGCGCCACCGGTCCCTCCGACCACCACCAGCAGGCAACGTGGGTTAAGTGTCTTGCCCAAGGACACAACGACAGCGACAGACTGAGCGGGGCTCGAACCTGCAACCTTCCGATTACGGGGCGAGCACTTAACTCCTGTGCCACCGCTGTCCCTAACCAGAAGATTTGATCTTTTTATTGCAGAAATTAGATAATCGTTACGTATTCACTCAGGGACAACAGAATAGAGAGAGTCAAGTTTATTTTATTACTAACAAATTAAACTAGACTGACTTTAAACTAAATGTATAGTGTAACTTAAAATGGATGAGGCGGTGAATGGATGACGTTTGATGTTAAATCAGAACCAGCAAATCCGAAGAAGCGATTAGTTCTGATGGGAACTGAGGATGTTTTGCATTAAGCTTTGGTTAGCTTCAGAAAAAGCACGAGACACTCTTTGCCGGTCTACCTTGCCTTGTGGAAGTCCTCTGTAGATCAGGAATATCGAGGTCCAGTGAACCCTCTCTGGAAACCGGGCCGGTAGGAGAAGCCGCGGTTCCGATCAAACCCGTCTTGAGTTACTTCCGGCACACGACACATTATTGGCGTCTGGTCAGACCCAAGCCTGGGTGGGTGGATGGAGCTTTCATTCTGAAAGGAGCTGTTGTTGCCGCTGGTTGTTATAGCGACTGGATTTTTCAGCTTGTCGTTGGTTCTTTCAGTTAAAGAGTTAAAAGATCAGGATTGGCCACTCCGTCACTTTCTCTGGAACGCTTTGAACTGGTGTTAGAGCTGACATGGCATAGTTTTATACCTCGGATGTAATGGTTTATTGTCGAATGAAAATTACCAAACACCGTCAGAAGCACTGCTCCGTCAGATCTGTAAGATTCTAATTGGATCAGTGAAAGGAATGTGTTATGTCCTTTTAACACTACTTGAAATGAGTCCTGTTGGAACACTTAAAGTCACAGTTCTTCTTATTTATATAGGATCATAATAAAGTAATTAATATTTTGATTTCACAGATCGGTCACATCTTATTTATTGACTAACACTTTGATGGATTAGCTTTATTAAAATAGAGTTCTTTGATTAATTAAAATAATAGAGTTCATTCTTCGTTCTTCTGTTGAGCTGAAAATAAGCAGGTTAGAAGGAATGCATGAGACCTTGAGTCTATCTCTCATGCAGACTAGTCCTGAGCAAAGAAGGGATAAATAAGAGTCATTTCATTCCGTTACAGATGGATGGATATTGGATAGATGGATAATTGGATGAATGGATGTTAGATAAATGGATATTTGGAATGATGGATGTTAGATAGATGGATGGATGGATGGATGGATGGATGGATGCATGCATGCATGCTGGATGTTAGATAGATGGATATTTGGAATGATGGATGTTAGATAGATGGATGGATGGATGGATGGATGGATGCATGCATGCATGCATGCTGGATGTTAGATAGATGGATATTTGGAATGATGGATGTTAGATAGATGGATGGATGGATGGATGGATGGATGGATGCATGCATGCATGCTGGATGTTAGATAGATGGATATTTGGAATGATGGATGTTAGATAGATGGATGGATGGATGGATGGATGCATGCATGCATGCATGCTGGATGTTAGATAAATGGATATTTGGAATGATGGATGTTAGATAGATGGATATTTGGAATGATGGATGTTAGATAGATGGATGGATGGATGGATGGATGCATGCATGCATGCTGGATGTTAGATAAATGGATATTTGGAATGATGGATGTTAGATAGATGGATATTTGGAATGATGGATGTTAAATGGATGGATGGATGGATGGATGGATGGATGCATGCATGCATGCTGGATGTTAGATAGATGGATAATTTGATGGATGTTAGATAAATGGATGGATGGGTGGGTGGATGGATGGATATTGGATGGATGGATAATTGGATGACTAGATGTTAGATAGAAGGATGGGTAGGTGGATGGATGTTAGATAGATGGATAATTGGATGGATGAATGGATGGATGGATGTTAAATTAATGGATAATTAGATGGATGGATGGATGGATGGGTGGGTGGGTGGATGTTAAATAGATGGATAATTGGGTGGAAATATTTTCTCGTATTCAACTAAAGACTAAATTGTGTGTCCAACTTGTGTAGGAATGCTTTTGCCTGATTAGGTCAGGTGTCTGTTGTACCAATGTTCATGGTGTTCTAGATTATGTCCATAGGGGTAAATGTTCTAACATTAACTGGAACCTGATGGTCTCCATCCTGACAGTGTGGGGTTATGGCTTCCTGGCTGTGACTGTAATCAATCTGGCATCTCTCCTTGGTCTCCTGCTGATCCCCTTCGCCAAGAAGCCGTACTTCCCAAAAGTTCTGACATACTTCATTGGCCTGGCCATCGGGACGCTTTTCTCCAACGCGGTACTGCAGCTCATACCAGAGGTAGGTTTACAGTAGGACGTCCCAACACGTGCTCTTCTTCAGTATCATCATCATTACACTCCTTTCTCTCTTCAGGCTCTGGGTTTTGATCCCAAAGCAGACAACTATGTTGCCAATGCAGTTGGGATATTTGGAGGATTTTACCTCCTTTTTTTTGTGGAGAAGATCCTTAAGATGTTTCTCCGCCATGAGGTCAGTTACACTCACTTTTATTCATTATTTTTTTGTTTTTAAACTGCTTTGCTTTCTGTCTAGTGTGTGATTATATTGTTGGTTGTGCTGTTATTTTAGAAATTTTATTGTGTTATTATATTTCAATTCAAATATGATTGCAAGATAAGTTTCTGATGGTTGTTCATCTATGATTTAAATGTAGAGTCCATTTATGTTTGCTTTATTCCAGTTTTGTTGCCCTTTGAGCTGTTTGTTAATATGTTTATTATCTAATGCAACAGTCAGATTTTAGTTTGTAGATATTAATTATGTGCTCAGGATGAAATTACAGTTAAATCTGAACCGATATTAGTTTTATAAGGCACGCTGAAGGTCCTTCATGTTAGCATAATATTTGCTGCTGTAACGATGTGGATAGGCTACATTTATGAAATGATCAATAAGATGTGATATTCCATATAAATATGATTTATCAATCTGATTGGTCTTTGATTATATGATGTAATATTACCTTAGGTTCTTTGACTATTCAGGGAACATACATTTCATATTAATTCAGACAGAGTCAAGGATATAGTTTATGAAATCTAATTTAATTCTTTTTTCTAACCTAATGATTTTACATGACAATGTATGAATGAAATGACAGTCGTACAGGATAACAGACGATGAATGAAATGATGGAATGCAAGCTAGATGTTTGTAGCAAAACCTTAAGAATCTGAGGGATGTCTGTGTTGTAAAAATCAGTTTGACTGTATGGTTTAATCAGCTAGATATTATTCGTAAAATCATCCGACACCATCGTGCAGAGTCTGCGATGCCCCTTGTGTGACGGTCGCTCTCAGGGTCCGGAGAAGAAACAGCCAGGGTGATGATGTCACTGGACAAAATGACTCCTAGGATCTCAAAGAGTCGCAGCTCCCTTTGAGTTCAGATATCACTGGCCATGAGATACTACCAGGGTCTGCAAGTTAGATGTTCCATGTCTACAGCATCTGAAACCACTCGCAAGCATTTCAGAGTGGCTGTGACCTTGAAGTCAAAAGAGAGGATGCTCCCAAGTGCTTTGCTCAGTCGGTCGGCCAACCGAGTGAGCTGGCGAAGAACTGACTAGCTCAGGAAGTGATCTCTATTTTTATTAACTATTGTTGACAAATTTAGATGAATCAGAATTTGACAAAGATGTTAGCAAATACCTCAGAAAATCCCCCCTTCCCTCAGATACTTAGAGAGTTTTTTTTAGTGTGAAGTGAAAATGTTGAACATTAATAATAATATTGCGGCTTTAATATACAATAGATTTAATTCTAAAAATCAACAAATACTGATCTGATGTAAGTTCTGAAATGAAACATTACAGGAAAAATATTCATTTTAACCCATCACTCATTAATGTCCAGTAGAGGACACATTATTCAAACACTTTGAATTTAAATAAATCGTTCATTCAACAAAATATGATTATATGAAGTTTTAAAGTCATTAATGCGAGTCAGGGAAGATGAGCTTCATTCAAAGAAGTCCAGCGTCTTGTAGCCTTGAGGACTCATGACGTATGCAGGATTTATTAGGAATGTTGGATCAGCACCTCCAAATCTGAGACCATGGTTCTCGACCGGAAAAGACCGGGTCGGGAGAGAGGTCCTACCTCAAGTGGAGGAGTTTAAGTATCTCGGGGTCTTGTTCACGAGTGAGGGTAGGAGGGATCGGGAGATCGACAGGCGGATTGGTTCGGCGTCTGCAGTGATGCGGACGCTGAGCCGATCTGTCGTGGGGAAGAGGGAGCTGAGCCAGAAAGCCAGGCTCTCGATTTACTGGTCGATCTACATCCCAATCCTCACCTATGGTCATGAGCTTTGGGTAATGACCGAAAGAACGAGATCGCAGATACAAGCGGCCGAAATGAGTTTCCTCCGTAGGGTGGCCGGGCTCAGCCTTAGAGATAGGGTGAGGAGCTCGGACATTCGGGAGGTACTCGGAGTAGAACTGCTGCTCCTCCGGATCGAAAGGAGTCAGTTGAGGTGGTTTGAGCATCTGGTCAGGATGCCTCCTGGACGCCTCCCTGGGGAGGTGTTTCGGGCATGTCCTGCTGGCAGGAGGCTCCCGGGTCGACCCAGGACACGTTGGAGAGGTTACATCTCCAATCTGGTCCGGGAACGCCCTGGGGTCCTGCCAGAGGAGCTGGTGGAGGTGGCCGGGGAGAGGACAGTCTGGAGCTCCCTAGTTGGGATGCTGCCCCCGCGACCCGGACCCGGATAAGCGGAGGAAGATGACGACAACGATGTTGGCTCAAGTTCATAGATTTTATACCGGCACCACAGTGTCAGATTGACTTGTATGAAGAAGTTTGGCCTGCAAGTCAAAAGTTAACTTCTGGTCATTTTGGTGAAATACTTGGCCATTCGGTACGCTACACTGCTTACATCTCAACACAGAGAAAACAGATAGGAATCATTAGTTAAATGAATCCCTTATAATTAAGGTTTGAAAGATGCATTATTTACAAACACAGGCCAATAAGAGCCAATTTAAACCAACTCTCCTACTAAACAAAGTTTATTTATATCCCAAAAATTTTACAGAGCCTCAAACTTCAGAAAGCACAGTTTGCAATATTTCATATCTCTATGTTTATGTACAGTTTGTATTGTTTTGCATAATTTTACTTATTATTTTCATTTAGACAAAAATAAAATTAAAGGAGCAATATATAAGTATTCTACAGTCAAATAATCCCAAAATAGTCTGATGTCCCAAACATGTCGGAAGAAATGTATTGAAACTGATTTCATTCTCAGGCGGCTGGATTCAGTTTTTCTCCTTTCAAATAAACTAAAGAGTGACTTAGTCACTGTTAACAAACTGTGAGCCTGTGAGCTGGCAGAGTCTGTGCTGAGCTCAAGCCGAAGCACCAGCATTTGTAATTCAACACCAGCAGGCAAAAAGCTCCAGAGTTGTTTAAAAACCAAAGCCAGTAAACCGGAGCGAGTCACAAATGATTTTGTGTACCCCTAAGAAGCTTCTGTGTCTTTTAGTTTTACTCTTTTTTATTATTAGTTTATTTGAAAGGGACAATTTGTATTCATGAATACACCAGAATTAGCCCTAATCTGTAGTCCTTGACCGATTAAAACAAATAAAAACATCAAGTTAATAACAACATAAAAGTTGCAATATCAACAATAACAACATTAAAGATAGAGTATCACAATACTCATAAAACCGTACTGTCAGTGATAATTCACAAGATCCCTATAAATACATAAGAAGTGTCATTAAAAACACAATATTACCACCTAACACAGAAAATACATAGCAGCTTAGTGATCACAGGTCCGAGTCCCCCTGAGCCATCAATATCAATTCATTTTGAATAACTTGAGTGTTGAACAGTCTCTTATGGCCACCGGGATGTTGTTCCGGATCTCAGCACCTTTAATCGATAATACCTGTTGACTAAAGGCAGTGCGTCTAAAAGCTATAACACAATCGCTTCTGTCAGAGGCTCTTGTTACCCTACCAGTGACCTTGGATTTAGGCAAGATGAAGTCAGCTAGGGGTGGCGGAGCAAGTCCATTCAGGACCTGATAGACTGTACATGCTAATTTAAATTTTCTCAGGTTAGCAAAGCTCAGCTGTATTTCTTTAATATATGACTGATGGTAAGACCAAGGTTTTCTATTGAATATTTTTAGTGCTTTTAAGTGATTCCACTGTTTTTAGCGATGTCACACTTGCCATTGACCTATTTGTGATGGAATATTAAATATGAAAAAGGATCATACTGTGCAGGATCATTTTTGCTGCATTTTCGTTAACGATGGTCTAATTAGTCTATAATTATGGATATTAAAACAACAATTTTTGATAAATTTTTAACATCTTTTTTAAGTCAGATTAGAGTCCAAAGTATCACAGAGATATTTGACTTCCAGTTTGGAGCTCTTTGCCATTCAACAACACATTTAAACCATTATCTGATAAATGACATTTCGGTCGATATCGATAATTATTGAAATTTTTTTTTAAATTGTAGAAATTTTTTTTACATGCAGTCCTGGCCAGTTTATTTTTGGTATTTTTATTTTTTCTCCGCCTCATCTCGCTGAGACATCTTGCTGCCACATGCTCTGTTTTGGCTCGAGAAGGGGCCTGGTGAAGTAGTGTTCTGTGATTTTGATTGGGTAGGAGTAAGTAGAAGAAGAAGAAGAAGAAGAAAATATCTTTTCTATAGCGCCTCTCAAGATAAAAATCAAGAGGTGCTTCACAAAAACAAAAAATGTAAAAATATAAAAAAAAATTAGAAAATGATTAAAATATATTTAAAATGAACAAAAAATAGATAATTGTAATTAAAAATGTAAAGAAAGGGAGAGAGAGTGAATAGGAAAGAGGGAAATCAGTGAATCTTGAGGAAGGTGGAATGGGTAGGGAGAGCAGAGCAGAGAGGGTGATGAAGGTCACACAAAAGCCAGCCTGAACAAGTGAGTTTTCAGCTGCTTTTTAAAGGAGATCACTGAGTCCACTGATCTGAGGCTCAGGGGGAGAGAGTTCCAGAGTCTGGGGGCCACAGCAGCAATGATCTGTCACCTTTGGTCTTTAGCCTGGTGCTGCACAACCAGTAGGCTTTGATCACTGGTCCTCAGGGACCTGCTGGGGGTGTAGGGACTAAGAAGATCACCAATGTATGATGGTGATTGTCCATGTAAGGCCCTAAAGACCAGAACCAGGATCTTGAAATCAACCCTGAAGTTGACTGGCAACCAATGAAGCTGGAGGAGAAGCGGGGTGATGTGGGTGTGTTTGGAGGGCATGGTCAGAAGCTGAGCACAGGCATTGTGAACCACCTGTAGACAGTTCAGGTAGTAGTAGTCTAAGCGTGAGGACATGAAGGTGTGGATAACTGTCTCAAGTTCAGAGCGGGACAGAATGGGACTCAGCTAAGCAATGTTCCTGTGATGGAAGAAGGAAGAGCGAACAAGATAACTGACATGAGAATCCAGGGTGAGAGCTTG